AAAAAAAAATGTAAACTGTCCTTGTGGGTAGTAGGCCATCTACATATTGCCTTTTAGACATGATCCATTGTCAGAATTCCAAACACTGTAAGAATCCAGGAACTAAGTTCAAGAAACCTCCATCAGCTGATCCAACCCTAGTCCAAGCTCACTGGCTACCGGCGTTCGTGACTAGCTCTTCAGAATCACTGCTCTGTCCTCAAGAGCTTGAACCTGCCAAACCAAAAGTCTGTTTCATTTATTGCACCTGACTCTCCTCCCCTTGCTACTTTCAGCAAAGGTGTCATTAGAGCTCCTCTCCTAAGCTGAAAGCTCTTCTCCTTTTCTGTCACCCAAGGGCATCCCAGTCACATAAGCTTTCTGTTCTGTGACTATTCCAGCTCTGCTAACCTTTTAAGTGACTGGAATTCTTAAGAATAGAAAGTTCTCCAGGGCAGCCTGCGCTCAGATTCCTCCATGGGTGCATCAATGAGGTTGAGAGAGAGGGGAGAGAGAGTTCCCACAGAACTTCATACCTCAAGGAGGAAACTGTCATCATTCATATTCAATGGCAGAGAGAGCATCTGGGCTCTTCACCCCACCCCCACCCCAAAACCTTGCTGTCTCCATGGGCCAGGCCCACACAGTTCCCACACCTATCACATCCCACGTTTTAACTGTGCTCTTCATAAGCCAGATGATACTAAGTCATCCTTCAGAAATGAGGACAATTATATTTGCTTTTTCGTGACTGTATTAGTCCCCTTTTAGGAAGTTAACACTCTGGATAATCCAGAATTGCCTTTCTTGACAATTGCCATTGTTTAATCCTCCTCCTCATAATTACTGAGAATTAAGTGAAATTTATTTTTCTGTTGTTTCTAGTTTCCTCTACTAATAAGACTTTCTAGTGCACAAAAGTTTGAACATAGCTTTCTTAGCATCTTTTCTCCAATTTAAAAGCTCTTCCAGGAAAACTTGGAAAATTGTGATTAAAGCATGACAATAACATTAATAAAATAAGGTAGCCATGAGAATAAAATTCTGTTTAAATAAAACCTTTATTTTTCTTTTTTGTTTGTTTTTCAAAGAATTCCTTTAGTTCCTCGAATATCCATTTCTCCGGATACAGCTATATCTAAACCAAAAACAAAAACCATACTGAAGGGCAAGATTGACCACTCACTAGAAAACGTGGAGTTAAACCTTGAGGCAGATGAGAAGCTGATAGTGGACACCTGGCAACAGACTTCTTCACTGGTGTCTCAGATGGTAAGCAGTGTTGCTATTCCATTTTCTTCCCGTGATTCTCATTCATTAAGCACAACATTAGCAATAAGCAGAATGAATGAACAGAAAATCTATACAAGTTCAAAGTCATAAGCCTTGTATAAACTTATACCTCCAGGATATTTTTTTTTCCCTGTAACGAAGTAGGAAGTAGAACAATTCAATCAGCAAACATACGAGATCAAGCAAGGAGTAAGCCAGCATCTAGGTTATTTCCCTTGCTGGGTCAGGTGTCCAGTACATGCACCTATCAGGAGGTCAACCAGGAAAGGTCAATGAGGGGATGTCAATCATATGGGTCAAGCTTAAGGTCATGTTCTGTTCTGTGCCAAGACTTGAGTGTGTCTAGTACAGTCCACATGGCGTGTAATGACAGGTCAAAAGTGGGCTGCAATGTAATGGTGGTCTCCAAGTTCCAGGATCCCCCACCTCTGAATTGTTACATAAACAAAATGGACAAGTACAGCTTAGAGAATAACTTACATGCTAGGATGTTCACCTAATGACAACCTCGCCAGAGGAGAAATTTCTTAGAACGTTTTTCTGTCCTTCAGCAATGCCTGACTGTATCCCATTCAAACAATGTTCCAAAAAGGCTATGTGGAAGAGTCAGTCACACAGCATGTAGTCAACACTTCTGACGGTGCATTTCCTAAGTTGCCTCCCTGACTGCTCGGCCTGCCGGGGTCTTTCCTCTGGTCTTGTCACTAGACATCCTCAGTGACTTCCTTCGGTCTCCCAGTTCCTTTTGTTCTTAATTCTTTCTCTTCTCTCCCTCAAAAATATTCAGAGAATCCACTCATTGCCTGTTTTCCCAGCAACAATTTCCTGGTTTTAATACACATGAGGAAAGTGTATGGAATAAAATTACATGACTTGATGAACTCATATAAAGTAAAACAAAGGAGGAAGACAAGAAGAAAGGACAGCAAAGTTTCAGGACAGGAAATACAGGGATATGGCAGGCTTATCTTCCAAATATAGATCAACTACATTATATCAAGAAGAAAAAAAAAAGGCAAAATGATCCAGATATAGGGAAATGATTGAGAGATTTCAATCATTCAATGCTTACACAAGGTGACCTGGTATTCACTGAAAGGGAGATTGGGGGGGTAAAGGGGAATGTTAAGAGCATCAGTGGCCTCCTGCTAATTGGAAATGCTGTCTGTAACATGCAGAGCTCAGTATCTCGGCTGGTTCCAAACCATCACACCCTCTCGCAAACCAACTAAGTTCTTCTACTGCATCATTCACTGACGTTACCTATTTTAACACGTTGGCTAATGCCATGTTTCACTCCTAAAATACACTCCTCCATGCTCTTATTTGCTTATACTTCCTTTAAGTCTTCAGAACTAGTTTTTAACCTTAATTTCTGACTAGTTGGTTGCCTTTTTTTCTGAAAACTCTAACCTTCTTTGATATTATCTGCTTCCAATTCTTGTAGCAGTTACTGTGACTCGTTTGATTCTTATTATCCAAGTTATTGCTTGTAATTTTCATTTTGTTCATTGTTTCTCAAAATACTTGACTGGCTTCTAAAACTTTATTTTTCCAAAACCTAGCATAATGCAACAATGCACACATCTAACAAATATTAGCTCTGAGTACAAAACTGAGATGCTGCTGTGCTGATGCTGCTGATGATATTGATGATGATGGAAATGACAATGACTAAAAACTATCAAGCTGGGGAAAGCTACATCTAGGAATTCTAAAAATATGTAACTATTCTTTTTAATGGAGATATTTAAACACAATTTGCAAGTCATGAATTTCATTAAAATTTCCCTGGGACAATGACAATTTAAAATATTGTATTATTAGAAAGTGAGACAAAGCACTCCCAACATCTTTTGATTATGCTTTGTGTTTTTAGGAAAATCACTTAACCTCTCTGAGTCTTCGCTATCTTGTCTGTGACATGGGGACATTCTCGCTGTCTTTCCTTTCTTAAATTGATGGAAAGAGCTAATGAAATAAGATATATCAGTGTGTTTTAGAATTTTGAATAAGTATAATTTCATTATGTTAAGAAATGTATTCAAAGTTGTACCTTTTTCCCTATGGACTTTTAAAAAATCATATAGAAAACAAGGGAAGGATTGTTTAATAATTAATGTCTAGTAATTATATTTGCAGTCTGCTTTTATATTTCTAATAGGCCTTTATGACTTTGATGTCACATGACCGTTAGGGAATTTTCGGTTCCAAATGAGACAGAATAATTCAGGAAATTGTTGATGGGAAAACAGTATCTATCAGCTGCTATCAGCACAATTGACTTATGAGTAAGTTAACACAGCCTTTATTTCTACACAGCAGTTTTTCTAAGAGTCACTCATTTAATATGCTGTGTTAATTTTTAGCAAAACTTTCTTCTAATTAGCAGGTGTGCATGATTTCCAAGAAACAAGTCATATTTAACGCCCACAATGTCAAGGCATTATTTCTAGACTTTCTTGAGCCTTACAAGCTAGATTGTTGGGTGTATGTGATTATATTAATTATTGAATAAGACCCAGAAGTCTTTGTGGAAGGTGGTTCAGAAAAATGCAACTGATGATAATCATCATCATCATCATCACAAGGTTGTTTAAAAAGGAGAAAAAACCAATTTTAAAGAAAATTACGAACTTACTGTGCTTTGTAAGAACAGCTTCAAAAATGAATTGCTTGCAATTTAGGGGGAGGGGAGATGTTAACAAATCTGCTTTCAGCTTTACTAAGAATTTGAAAGTACAGTATATGTCATGAAATCCATTTTGTAAAAAGGTCATCTGATAAAAAAAATATAAGTGACTTGTTCTTTGAAAATTTCGGTGTCCCTTCAATATTCTGCTGATATTAAAGAAACTGTGGGTATAGTCTGTAGAATGTGGTTGTTTTAAAATAAATTTCGTCAATTAATAAGCATTTCCTGGGCTACCTTTATGAGTATGGAGCAGGTGCTTAAAGCAGAGAAGAATACCAAGAATTAGGACTGGCCAAGATCTTGGGAGCATCACTCACAGAGCAGCTGAGGACAGTTACAGGCCAGGATGGTGTGTGCCAGAGCTTGGAAAGGGTGGGAATTGGATTATCTGCTCTTCCCACAAGTCTATAACCTTCCTTGTGGGTAGAAATTGTATCTTACCCATCTTTCTATTTACTTCCATCCAATTTCCTTCTCTTCCCAGCCCTTCGCCCAATTACCCCCAAGAATCATGGCAGGTTTAGACACAGTGAGCACTTAAACAACTAAATCAGTTTCCACAGGCTCCCACCTCCCCACCTGTTGCCTTACTGAAATTTTAAAAGTTTCAGCTACATCTTGGGCTATTGTCTTCACAATCCGTACACGTTTTCTTTCTTCTTTGATCTCATTTCCAAGGACTACCCTCAAAAAGGCCCTTTGCCTTTAGGGGCCATTGGATTCTTTACAAAAGGTCCAATCTTTCTAACTGCAGGTACACAAACCCCAGTACAGACTTTCCATCCCCTGAAGCATACAGCAAACTGCAGAACAGAACATTCTCTACAGAGCACCCCATATCTCCCCATCTATCAGTCATTGTGGGGTGAACTTATTACTGATCTCTCAAGCCAGGACACTACACTTGTGAGTGTGAAAGTAGGAGTTTGCTGAGATGGAGAGAAACTGAAAGTCCCCTGAGAAGAGGCAGTTTAACAACCCACCATGAAGCTGGACTGTGGGACAGGCCGTTTTGAGGACTCTGCCTCTGCCTGGGACAACTGGTGTTGAAAAAGAAAGGCAGCCCAGGATTGAAGTGTCTATAAGCACAGTTAAAGCTTCACGGAGAGGGATACAGTTAGGTTCAACTGACTAAACTACACAGGGGCTCGATAATGATAAAAAAGATTAAGAAAGATTCTTGTAGAGGAATATTCCTGATTGAAGGCCAAGCACAAACAGCGACATGGGAGAGGAGCAGGTGTAAACCCAATAGAGTGTGAGATTACAGCGAAAGGCATTTTTGCATAACTGCGAAGTTGTCAGTCTGGAGGTGGCAATGAGAAATGTAAAGATGTGTCACTGGCAGGGCTTGAAAAGTCACTTCTCGGGGCATGGTCAGATGTGCACTGAAGTAAAAGCCTGGGTGTGTTTTATGAAGACTGAGTGGCATGGCATGGTTTGCAGTGGAAGGAAGCCTAATGGATTTGGGAAATGACTAAATCCAAATGGTTTTCATATTTTATGAATATTATAGTCACTGAAATATTGCTCTTATTCAACCAGGTTACTGCTGAAATTCAGCAGAGGGCCTTGGAAGAAGAAAAAGAAAACCAGCCAGTGGACACAAAAGAAAAATCTCTTCCAGCGGGTGCTAATAAAAAAGGCAAAAAGGAACCACCCAAGAAAAACAAGGAAGACAAAAAAGCCAAAGGTATTCATGGTTTTAGCATCCAGAACCCTGAATATGTCAACCTTTCTTTGGGAGAAAACAAGTGTTTAACCGGACACGTCATCCCTAAGCCACTAGAACACATCTCATTAAGTATAGCTTAGAGACCCAGGCTTCCATGAACCAGTCAGTCCCACCGAAACTGTTCATCCAAATAGCAAGGTGTATCCAGGGTAAAACCACTCTCAAAGGCAGTGGGACATGTTAACAGAAATCCAAAGTGACATTTTATAATCGGAAAACTCTGTGCCAAGAGGCTAATCCTTGCTACAGAGATAAGAAAAGTTGAGATTAAAAGCTAATTTTTGTTAAGTTTTAGATGCTGTTTAGTTCAAACAAGTCCTTCCCTGCTGGCGGCCTCCTGCCTGAGTCTTTCTCAGAGGTATGATGGAAAGTGAAGAAGAGGGAAAAATCATACGGAGAGAGACCTCCCGTTAACCGTTGGGATAAGCTGTGGCACAAACAATATTCTCCCCTCTGAGTATTTCTCCTCTTCTACGTTTTTCAAGTAACTTGAGGCAAAAGAGGAAGACATGAAAAGTCATGCGCTAAAGTGGCTCTAACAGTTAGTGGCTCATCATGTTTGGTAGGCGCCTGTTGTGTGGAAGCCGCCATGATGGACCTGAGGACACAGTGGCGAATTCAAACACCACCAGACATCTGCCTGCCTCGTGCCTATTTGCTGCATCCAAGATAAACATTTACCCAGTTACTATGCTTTGGTAGGGTGGAGCAGTCCCTTGAGAGCTCCCTTATTCCACTTGTGGGGATAGGGAAACACTTTCCAGAGGAAGTACATTTATGTAGCCATCACTTAAGAAGTGTTGAAGATGGGGGCCGGGGCTCCCTAACTTTCCCAACAAAGGGAAGAGTAGCTTCCCAGTAAAGAACATACCTCTGCAGTCCAGTAGATTTTGTAGGAAATGCTTCAGTTTAATGAAATAAGTGACTGAGCCCAATCTCTTAATTTTACAGACAAAAGAAAAACCCACAAGATTAAGTTCTGCTTTGTCTGCAGTGAATACATGCATCTGCTATTACCATTAAGTCTCACTACTGTTACTTTGTTTACTGTTATACTTCTTCACAATACTTTGAATTCCTTGAGGTCAGACCTTCTAGAAAGAATGAGTGTGCTGAGTGGAATTGCATAAACTGGAACCACACATTCCTCATGGGTAAATTCTCAGATAAACACCCACAATTACTCTTTTTTAATTCTCATCTGGAATCACTGAGGTATTTGTAGTTAGGTGACAGTTAAAAGATAATTTAGGGCCCTCCCTGGTGGCACAGCAGGTTATAGTGCAGCACTAAAAGATAATTTAGTAGATAACAGATTTTTGACCATGGCTATAGTTCAGCCACCACTTCTAGAGTATTCTTGATCTTTTCTTGATGAGGACCTAGGAAGAAGTTGGCTAATTTAAATATCCCATATGGAGAGGAACTTCTTCAGGTAGCTAATGGCTTTCACAATATGTTGGGGTTTGCTAATTTCTGTCCCCAAACTCTTCGGGGAGTTCCTTCATCGTGTCTCTACTCTCTGCACAACTCATTTTCCCTTCATGCTATACAGTTGTGGGGACTTTGAGGGGGTTACGTGCCTCCAACCCAGAAATCGCATGGAAAACTCACAAGGGAACACCATCAATATTTTATCCCATACCCTTTCAGGGCCAGGGTTTCTCCTTTCCAAATCTCAGCAGGTGTATTTTTCTCCACATTTCACGCTGTACTCTTTTTTGTCCATAGGCTGTGTGCATGCAATTGTGTACCGGCAGTTTGCTCAGCGTGTTTCATTGCCCTTCCAGGTAAATCACCACCTACAGCTGAATCCTCTCCTGTAACAATAACTGCAGAGGAAATTGCCGAAATGGAAAGGAAAGCTGCACTGAAGTTAAAAATAAAGGAAGAACATCTTGCTGCCCTGCAATTTGAAGGTAGCAATTGGACCTGAGCTAAGAGGATGTTTTTCAGTAGCAAATAGACCACAGGCAAACAACCCACAGCAGACTCGTTAATTGCCTTAAACTATGTCTGTGAGAACACAAACCAATGGGTTGAAGAATGCAACATTATTTGGTTGTTTTCATGTGACCCTATGAGGACTAGAATTGACTGATATCTCTTGTCCACTGGAGTCTCCAAAACAGAGAACATGGGGAGGGAATAGGAGAGCATTAGCAGTAATTAAAATCTCAAAGAACGGAAACAAAAAGAATGTGTTAGAGAGTGTGATTTTACAGGATGAAAGAAGGCAAGTGGTTTCATGTTATAAAAAGACTAACTTAGGCCCCTCATTCAGAAACCAGATTCTGTGTAAAGGCTACCAAGCCCTGAATGTGAGCTCTGGGGAACAGATGCTGTAGAAAAGCCTCCTTCAGGCAACAATGTTCAAGGGCTTCCTTCTCTCTCAGTAGCGGTAATTCTACAAGACCTGCTCTCCTGTAGCTCTCCCAACTGGCTTATAATGCTACACAGAGTGGACTTTTAAAAGATGGAGGCAATGAGCAGAAGTATCCCAATTGCAATGAAACCTTGGTCAAAGATGACAAGTCTATAAAAATACAGCATCAAGTAAGGTGGGACTGATTATCTACTCAATGACCATCAATTTTAAGGATGTTTTCCATTCCTACTTCTCTCCTTTTCTCCGTTCCCATACATCCTACCATCATCTGCCTCTACAATCCTAAAACTCAATCTGAAGTTCAACACAAAAAGATCTGTGACATCAGAAAAGTTAGAACACACACATCTCCCCACATCTGATTCCACAGTTTGCAGAATACTTCATCTTTCAGTTCAGTCAGCCCTGAATGTGTGAATTGCATTCATTCACACAGTATCCTCTTAGTTTTGACTGTGCCCTATAGGCTCATCGCTGTATACAAACACACCTGCATACTGAAACACAGTAGTAAAACCCAACCTAGAGGAGGAGAAACAGAAAGGATAACTTATAACAGAATGTGTTATTGGAGAAGGGCACATAACAACAAAGCAAGCCTGGGCTGTCAGGAAAGTGAAAATGAGCAAATTGAAATTTGGTCAGGATAGAGAACAAGAAAAGGGTGTCTACTGGCACCTCAGGAATCAACAGGAGAGGCAGACCCAAGAGCCCTGGAATCATGTTCCAAGTTGCCCAGGAATGGGGAGAGCTCATTCACCAAAAAGAATCTCACTCATGTTCACTATGCAAATTTGGCTAAAAGTCAGCCTATTGGGCTTGGCACTATGAAAATTAGATGAAAAGTTAGTTAAGCAGTGACTGGATGATGTTTCCATCTGGGCTGTCTGCAAGGGGTGGCTTTATTTCACTTACTCCCGAGGGAAACTCAGGTTCACCTGGAGTCCCTTTTTCAGTAGCCTTCCAACTCAATTGACCCACACTGGACTGGCTCCTGGTTTTTTTGTTTGTTTTCCATTTTTAAATTCCAGTCAAAAGGCCCCTTGGCAGATGATTAACATTTGAGCTAAACTGGTAGAATGTGCAGATATTTTTCCAGGGAATAAATTAGGGCAGGAAGGGAGAGAACTGAGTAACCCCTGGGTAAAAAGCAACAGGAATTTCGGGCATAACCGGGAAGGCATGACCAAAGAGAGGGGAAGCCCACGTTAGGGTGCCCTGTAGGCCCTGCTAGGAAAGTCACATTGTCCTTCATGGCAACAAGGAGCCAGTGACGAATTCTGGGCAGAAGCAGCTATGATCACATGTTCAAGTGAGGCAGGTTACTCTGGGGAGTGTATTTGAAGTTGTGATCGGAAGAGAACTTTGAGAAAGCAAGATTTAGGCAATTACAATAATTTAGGTGAAAGGTAATCAGTGCCCAAATTAGGCCAGTAGCAATGGTAAAAGCAAAGAAGAAAGATTCGAAAGCTATTTTAGAGGTAAAACCCACAAACTTTATCACGGGCCAGAGATAGCAATAGGCCCTGGGAAATAGCTTTCATCGTAGTTTTACTGGCGCTGAGAAATATTATGACCTTGTTTTTGGAGCAGACGATAATGCACCCTGTCCCTTGCTGAAACTCAGGATGTATCTGTCTCTCTATTGTGCTTTATTGAAAAGTATGCTGCTGTAAAATCCAAGCAGTGTACAGCTTAGTTATAGTTTTGGTTTAAATCATCTGTCAAATGACACTGTTAGAGATGAATAAGACATTACGTAATCTAAATTAATATATTAAGTGTGCTCCTAAAACTTAACAAGTTGAAGCCTTGTTAATTGAACACTGAATTTGGTCAATCCTAATGTAAAGGTACTGACACTCATTTCAAAATAATCCTTGTTTTCTCTTTTAGAGACAGCCACATTGTTCCGCCTTGAACTGATAAAAACTAAAGCATTGACTTTTCTTGAAGATTTAGTAACGAAGGTGGTAGATGTATACAAACTCATGGAAAAGTGGCTTGGTGAGAGGTACTTAAGTGAAATGGCCAGGTAAAGTACCCATGGCTTTTTTCTTCCACTTTTAATGCATTGTAAGGTAAACAGCACATAATTTGACTTATTTGAATTGTAAAATGATGATAGTACATTTAGTTAACATATAGATACCAAAAGAAAACAATTTTCTTGTGATATGAACTCCTGAAACCCACTTTCTTAACAACTACCAAATATGTCATACAGCCATGTTAGTTTAATCAACATGCCTCCTTAGGACTTATTTATAACTGGAAATGTGTGTCCTTTTCCACCAACTCCCTCTTTGCACCTTAGCCTCTGGTAACCACAAATCTGCTCTTTATTTCTATGAGTTTGATTTTTGTTCGTATGTTTAGATTCCACCTCTACTTAGATTCATACAGTATTTGTCTTTCATTCTGACAGGAGTCTATTCTTTTTGTGAAATAAATAAATACATATATATTTATGATTATAAATGCATATATACAGTATATATATACATGTGTGTGTGTGTATGTTTGTGTTTATATAGACATATATACACCACAACCTCTTTAGCTTTTCATCCATCAGTGGATACTTAGGCCATTTCATATCTTTGATGTTGAAAACAATGTTAACAACATGGCGGTATAGATATCTGTTCAAGACAGCTTTTTCATTTCTTGTGGACTTATTCCCAAAACTGGAATCACTGGTTAGATGGCAATTCTTTTTTAATTTTTTGAGGCACGGCCATACTGTGTCCATAGTGATTGTACCAACTTAGATTCCCACCAACAGTGCCCATGACTTCCCTTTTCTCCACATTGGGCAAGCATGTAACTTCTGCCTTTTTTGATGATAGCTGTTCCCACTGGTTTGCTGGTAAAATATCGTGATTTTGATTTGCATCTCCCCTATGATTAGTGATGATGAGCACCTCTGCACATATCTTCCTTGAAAAATGTCTATTTAGGCCTCTTGCTCATTTTTAAGATGGATTGTTTCCCTAGTAAGTTGTAGGAGTTCTTTACAGTTTCGACATGTTAACCCCTTTTCAGATATATGGCATGCCAATATTTTCTCTTTTCATAGATGATTATTTCATTGTTTCTTTGCTGTATAGAAGCTTTTAGCTTGAAGTACTCACACTTCCTAAGCTTTATTTTATTGTTTGTGCTTCTCAAAAAAAATCATTGCCAAGACCCATAGTAAGGTTTTGTCATGTTTCCTTCCAGGGGTTTGTGTTTCCTGGTCTTCCTTTAAATCTTTAATTCATTTCAAGTTAATTTTGTGAGTGACGTAAGGCAGGGGTCTATTCTAATTCTTTTACTTGTGATTATCCATCCAATTTCTCCAGAACTGCCTTTTCTCCATTAAGTATTCTTGACTCCTTGCAGAATATTAGTTGTCTATATATGCATGAGTTTATTTGGGGCTGTATTCTGTTCTTTTGGTCCATGTTTTGTGCCAGTATCATACTGGTTTGGTTGTATGACATTATAATGTAGCTTGAAATCAGGAGGTGTAATGACTACTGCTCTGTTCTTTCTAAGGTTTGCTCATGCTATTTGGGGTCTTTTGTCCTTCCCTGAATGGCTTTTTAAAATTACATTTTGCTAATTTCTAAAGACCAAAAATGACAAAGATTTTTAAGGTACTTACAAATGTAAATTATATTTGCAAATGTAAATTTTGACCTTTTAGGAAATCACATACACATCAACTCTTTTCAAACAATAAATCATGTAACAAAAGGTTTTATTACAGTATCCAATTTGCACATTATTTGTGAGTTTGTTTTTCACATGGAACATGGAGGATCTTAGTTTGCAGGATAAGAGGTACTTCTAAAAGATTTTTCAGAAGGAAGACAAATGTTCCATGTCTTTCTAATGCCAGACTTATTAATCAGAACCACTTAGTGGAAGATTAAGAAATCATTCACTGGGATGATTTACCAGTTAGGCTTTCTCTATAACAGTACAAACCCCAGTTCAAAAATTTTTTTTAAAGATTTATTTATTTATGCATACAAAACTGGTACAGGCCAGAGGGGCAGGGGCGGCGAGAGGCTTCCCCAGAGACAGAGGGGGAAGCAGAACAAGCAGATCGACGAAGTACACTGCTGAGGGGGGCAGCTGGCGAGATAGGAGAGGTCTGCCGCGCCATGTGGCTCCCTCCCAGGCGGGGATCGAACTCGCACGTAAGCGGCCACAGCCAGCTTCACAACGCTGCGCAACTTTTGGCTGGAGTTCATGCTACTTCTCTTTGGGGAAGCAATGCTCCATTGCTAGTGAGGAGCAGTGAGTCTCATCCTTCTTAAAGGCATAAAACCAGCCCAGCTGAACATCAATAGCCAATTAGGAGAGTCAGGGGACCTCGTAGCCAAGAGAAGGGACTGTGTCAGGACCAACAGGCTAGCAACCTGCCTCGCGGCTACTAGCCCCGTGGCCTTGGTCTATAAAACAAAACACTCCAAGTTATTTCAGAGCTTCCTGGAGAGCTACATTCTGTGATACACTACAGTTTGCAACAAACTTCCAGGAAGCGTAGAAACTGCCCTGTCCGTAGTCCACAAGTGGCCGGTGTTCTCAGAAGCAGCAACTGCACCTAACGGGCAGGTGCCGGGGCTTGTTTCCTCTCGTTCTTGTTCATCATGAAAGTTCCGTTGTAAAATCTTGTGACAGTTGCTCTTAACTCTTGGCTCCATGGTTAAAAAAGAGAAAGAGAGAGAGAGAGAAATTATTCACACATCCCTCTGGCTTGCTACAGCCATGCTTAAGATAATACGTTACTTCATCTGCATCATGGCCCAGGGATGCTCCAATCTACTACCTCATTCAGAGCATTCGAGGCCCCCAGCCCTGACCATCAGTAAGGAACAGACGCACTCATGTTTCTCAGATTTTATTTTATAGAATATGTCTCGGGTTAATTTTGTAATGTGTGTGTGTGTGTCCTGTCCTCCGAATGGTCACAAGAAGTTTAAATTTAGGCATGTTCAGTCATGCTTCCTGTTTGGGTTATTGCAAAATACTTAAGTGACAGAAAAATAGATTTATCAGTCCCCTTTGAACTTCAAACTCTGCTTTCATTTCCCTGGCAGTTTTTCTCCCATTCTTGAGATTACGCGCGGTAGTCTCCACTAGATGGCGCACCCCTGTTCTAGAGCCTGGTTGTGGTTCAGACACAGTGGGCTTTCAGAGGCCCTCAAGCCATCAGTGCTCTCTAACCAATGCCCTTCCCTGCTCCCCAGCTCCCAAACAACTCAAGATTAAACTCGTCAGAGAATGCATACTACATGGATACCCACAACCATCTGGAGTTGAATTCAAGGGTGTCTCTTGAAAGAAAGCAACTAAAACTGTTTTTTAAAGTTTCCAGTTTTGGAAGAACATTTGTCTGCTTACCCATAAATATTTTGGTGTTCATTAGTTATATCAATCAGATTAAATATTTAGTTTTTTGTCATCCATGATTTTTTATATGATATAAAGAGATCCTTTCTGTAATATAGTGGTAGAGTAGTAATTATTGAATAAAACTTCTCTGGCCTTAATTAAGGCTATACTGTAACCCTCAGTACAGCTGAAAACCATATCACCTGTGATTTCATACCAGTAACATAAGGTGTAGATTTATGTGTTACTGGCTCCAGTGCAATGATAAGGAAATTCAGAGAGCCTAAGTCTTTCCCAAGAACCCCTGGCCAATGAATGTTCTAGAATTAGAACTCAATTTTTTTTCAGTGTTCTGTCCACTGTACCACAGTGGGTTTTGACTATGCTGGTCATATTTATATGAGTTAGTTAGGAATTGTTATTCTTCAGAAAGATAGCAAAGAAATTTCAATGGGTGGTAGCATCACTGTCCCTTAGGATAAGTGTGACTTAGCTGATTTCAAACTTTTTGAAATCAAGTTCAAAAAAAGCTACACTTCTAGAAATCCTTTATGAAATTAGATTCATTTTACAATTTATCCTGATTACAAATAAGTGCTATTCTAACAGTCATATTTTACAGGCTTTTCTTCCATATAACCTTATTCTGGTTCATACTTAGAATAAACAATGCATTGATATAATTTTGCTGATACAGTGAAGTATGCCCTAGTACTAAAAAAAAAAAAAAAGTGATAAAGTCTGTTTTTTTTGTTCAGTTTTGTATAAAATATGTGACTACCTGTTCTTTAAAGAGCATATATTTTGCTCCTAATTTTCATTCATACCCTGCTTTTTTTCAAAATGGATTAGGGAAAAAAGGGATGGTTAACTATAATCAGTCCACCTGTCTAACTTAGCTGCATAGTGTTAGCTTTAGGTGTGTGTCTTGTATGCAAGCCTTTTTAACCCTGTAGCATATTTGATGAGGGTAACCCTATTTGTTTTCCACTTTCAGTGTGGAAAAATTAACAGATGTAGCTCGCTATCACATTGAAACAGCTAAAAGAATCCAGAATGAGCTGTACTTAAACCAAGAAGAATTCTTCATTAATGGTGATGTAAAGGTCTTTCCAGATCCCCCTCCTCCAGTACGCCCTCCACCTGTAGAAAAGGAAGAAAATGGCACTCTGACCATCGAACAGCTTGACAGCCTTCGAGAGAAGTTTTTAGAAATAGCACCTAAAGGTAGGAAAAAGTAACACTAAATGATGCTAAGAATAGCAGTCACTTACCCACCAAGAAAATCACAGTTCTGGGATTGGATGGTGCCAAAAAGAACCCTTGGTTTGTTCTAGCTTATAAATTTGCTTCGTGTGACATAGATATGATTTAAACAAACAGGAGCAAAACAATGACTAATACTTTGGCAGTGTGGTGAACTTGATTTCTGGTGATTCTTCTCTCCTCTCTTCCCCTAAGCTTGGCTAGCAATTTGGTAAATTTAAGTATCATTCCATCTCAAGACTGAAAGTCACTGTTTGCACTTCTAATCTAGGCTTTGTACTGTGGTTGTGAGTTGATTTTTCAGTCTGTGAAAGACCAGAGAGTAGACAATTACCCTTTTATATTTTGCCTTTTCCCTCAATGCTTCGAAGACCAACAGTAGAATCAAATAAGCCATTGACAGATATTGACTTAATTAATTAGTCTACTTATATATGTCAGTGCTTTTAGAAAATACAAATTATTTCCATCACATTTAGTCAATATGGCTCTTTAGCATGTACATCGACTTTTCTTTAATTCAGCCTCTTCCCATTTCTAGATAGACCTTCATGAATTCCATCAATTAATGGCACAATTAATTTAGATATATCATGTAGGATTATTGTCTCTGTGAGTCACAGAGCAGTTGAACAATTTGCCTATGGTCATATATCATTCAGAACTCATCACATTCAAATCTTTTGCCCCTTTACACTGAACTGAGTTGCTTCTCATCAACAGGTTTATCATCCAAACATCCCCTTGTTATTGGGAAAATCATCACAGTTCTCTAGAGATTAGTCAAATGACTTTAGTAATAAGAGAATTGTACTTTCATAATAGCTATGTGGATATATTGTATTTATTTTTTAAAAAAATTACCCTAGGGACTTAGAAATAATTTTAAAAGGAAAATAATGAAGAATAAAATATAAACTGCTACTTAGGTTCTTTATGGAACAGAACATGAGCTTTAGAGAATTGTTCAAGGATGCAAAACAAAAGAAGAATCAATGTGCAGGAAGGTGGATCTGGAACCATTTTTGGCACAGGGCCTTGGAGGGAAAGGTAAAGCGTGATTTGACTGGAAGGAGACAGGAGATCTCCTTTAATGGTGGGCAAACAGCCACTAGAAAGTATGTACCCATAAGGTCTGAGTATGGGTGTTCATGGAAGAAGGCTCTGCTCTTTCTCCCCAACTGCATAAACTGCAGACAAACAGCTGGGGAAGACTTTTCTTTCTCCACCCACCCAAACTGGAAGATTAACTCAGATTAAAGAATAATCATCGTATTTATTGCAGAATTTACAAAGCTATGAGGCTGCTATGGGATTTGGGGACCTTGATGGTTCCGAATGAGTTAAGATATACAAGCATATGGTTAAACCCTTTTTTTGATTAGCTCAATAATAACATTTGAAAAGGTATCTGTTGCACATGTTACTGTTTAAGGTTAGGTAGGCTATCAGTAGGATGTTATTATTTTTGCTGTTATAAAGGAAAAGCAAAATAATAACCATGCCATTCTCTGCATCCCTAAGTCACAGAATGAGAGGATTTCTGAGGACGTTTTAGAAGTCAGACTCCAAATACTGACATTGCTCCTCCCTGAGGAAGTTCAATAATGACCATTCACTCTTTTTCCCATCTTACCTGATTCCAAAAACATCCTCTGACTTCAGTCTTTCTCCCTGCATTCTGTGATTGTGGTTCACTGTCAACACACCCATTCATCTTTTAAATGAAGGCTTTTGTATAATCCTGCCAGGAAATGGAAAATAATCTTTTATGATAACTTCCATTGTGTTTACCCTTGAAACATACAGTTTCAAAAGACTATCTAAATTGATAACAGCTTTGAAGGTATGGAACAACTGGATGAAAGTGTTACATTTTTAAATGTTGAGTCCTATAGAACTTCCTGTTTCAATCTCAAAATTGTCTTTATTCCTAAGCCCAGAAATATGAAGTTTTCCTTATATTATTTCATATATGCACATGCAGCCTATGATATCTAAAATGTAATTTTTTAAGATCACTAAAACATGTTAAGATATGATAAAAATAGATTTTTTTTAAAGATTTATTTATTTGTGCACACAGAACTGGGGTACAGGCTAGAGGCTCAGGGGCGGTGAGAGGCTTCACCAGAGACAGAGTGGGGAGCAGAACAGGCAGATCTACGAAGTACACTGCTGAGGGGAGCAGCAGGAGGGTCAGGAGAGGTCTGCCATGCCATGTGGTCACCTCCAGGGCAGGCGGGAATCGAACTCATGTAGAAGCAGCTTTAGATTCTCAGTGCTGTGCTTTAACCCACTGCACCACCAGGGAGGACCTAGATTTTTTTTTTTTTAGGAAAAGAGCATACATATTTGCACTTAGCATTTAGGATGTTACTGGATCCACAGGAATATATTTTTTGTATATTTTCAAGGAGTCATGTTATTAAATTATACTTGGCAACTGTTTATTATGTACATAAATGAAATTATTGAGGAAAATATATAATCCTTGACTAAAACAAGTGACTAAATGCTAGTAGCTAGTATCAGAAGGTAAATAACCTGAACCAAAATTGTAGCAACTTTCTATGGGTATTGATTCCCAAGCTTAAAAATTAAAAGTGTTCATTAAAATAGTCCTTACTAAAGATTATGTAAAACTAAAAATGCATCATATACTGTAATGCTTATATTCAATTCTACTTTCCTGGTAAAATTCTGTCACTTGGAGTGATTCTAAATCTCCTTTGGTAAATAATAATTAAATATAAATGCCATCTGTTATTAAGATTGTCAGATACATGCCAGAAAAAAAAAAAACAACGTATGCGTGATCATTCCAGAGCATGCAAAGTGTGATGAAACAATTGCTAGTGTTTTCTTTTACTCAGCAAAAATCATATTTTAGAATATTAGGAGAAGCTTGAGTAAGAGTCAGGCAATCTGTCACCAAGACATTCTTTCCACTGATTGTCAAGGAATTTTCCATAAACACACTCCTCCCACAGAGTGAGCTTTGGTGAGTACTATCTAATTATAATGATGGCAATGTTAGCATGGTGGCAAGCCCGTGTGGCAGGCCCACGCTAGCTTCCCATGTTAAGCCCCTCCTCACCCAGGGCTGCTCTGGTAAGAAGCAGCCCTTACTCATGAGTCAATGGGTTCTTACCAAATTCACCTCCTGTCAATGACTGTAGGGTGATCTTGGGCAAATTATTTAACCTCTCTCTGTTTCACGTACCTCAGCTGGAAAAGGGGGTATTTTATGTGGTTGTTATGAACACTAACACAATATATATAAAGATTAGAAACAGTCTGAGGCATACAACACGCAACTTAAGTATGATCATTAACACAATCCCTGGACCCAGTTCCAGTTGCAGCGACTCTGCAACCCAAACTATTCTTGGACTCTAGCAGGGGATCCAGGAAGAATCCAACTCAGCATCCTCAGAAGGCACCAGGTCCCACTGGGGAAGGTGTGGTCCTACAAGACAGTGTCCACTCTCGCACTCCAGGTGCCAGTTTCAGCCCCAGGTTGGCCCACTTGCTTCTGACTAGACTATGTAAACCAGAGATGGCCAACCCTCAAACTCCCCCTCTTAGTTTCAGTCCATTTGTTCATCTCGCCCAGAATTCAAAGAATCATTTTACTCGCTGACTGTAAGTTTATTATAAAATAGACACTGGAAAGCAAGCATCAGGTGGGAGAGTTGTGTAGGACAAGACCTGGGGTGGGGTGGAGCTGCCCTTAACTCCCCAGATCTGTGCTCACCAACCCAGCTCTCCAGACCCTCTTCCGTGAGGTCCGTCAAAATGATGATGGTTTATATCACCATGATAATGTGATTAGTAAGAAAAAATAAACATTTGCTCTTGGATCCCATTCTTGGAAGAGAATTCCTAAAGTGTATTTGATTGTATACAATATGATACAAACTATTCTATTATCCAATATGTTATGGTGCTACCCTAAATATGCATCTACCATTCTGGGCACCTACCATGTTACCCTAGAGCAATTGCTGGCAAAAATCAAACCACCTTAAAAATTAAAAGTAATTAAGCCATGAGGTGTTTCCCCAGAGACTATAAGTAAGCACCTGAAATTAAAACACTCATCACAGTAAAGCTCCAGGCAGGTACATCTTATCTCTAAACATCAAGGGCCAAGCACATCAGAATTTCCTTTCTCCAGTGGAAGCATCTGGAGTCTGCTAAAACTAGAACACTGGTGCCAGTAAACCACACGAACTCCTTTTCTTCTAAGCTGGATCAGGACCCGGGGTAATGGCTTTAGCGAGTAGGTTCTGAGCGAACTTGGCTTTTGCCAAGAGGCTACCTAGAGAGAAAACAGTCCCCTAAAGTCTGACCTCTCTCTCTTTCTTCCAGAGAGGCGACATGTAGTTGTTCAAGGCCAATAAAAACCTAAACACTGACAAGGAAGACCTTCTTTCAGATTCCTCTTGGGGACTCTTAGATTCAGTACCCGGACTCAGAGACAGGGCACAACTTCAGAACTCTGACTTTGGCTGAGCTAGATCGTTCAAATACATAGTTTTTACAGAAATTCAGAGGAAGCAGTCTGTTGCTTCTGTGGATCAGCCTTGGGGTTAACCCAATGGGAGACATTTGAGTGGACCTTCCAGTAAGATAAGCAGAAGTAGAATATTACAGATGGAGGAGAAAACAGTAGACATTGAGATTTTGAGGTTGCATGACATATTTAGGGAACAACTTTCAGATCAGCTGGGGCAAGAGGCAGGAGTTGAGGACCACAAAAAGCTATCGTCAGGTTGTGAAGTCTCAAGCAAAAGACAAAGAAGAGAATTATCAAAGGGTTAGCACTAAGGGCTGTAGAGAGCTGAGTAGAGGAAAGAAAGAGACTGTATCTGAGAGAACAGCAGACCCTGTTCCACAAAGCCTCAAGCTAACCTAGAGGTAGGAGTAAGTACACCTGAAGGGAGTAACTAGAA